GTGAGTTTGAGGCCAGCCTGGGCTACAAAGAGAGATCCAGGAAAGGCGCAAAGCTACACAGAGAAACCCTGTCTCGAAAAACCAAAAAAAAAAAAAAGAGAGAGAGAGAGAGAGAGAGAGAGAGAGAGAGAGAGAGAGAGAGAGAGAATCAGCTGCTCTACTATACAGCAAGGGAAACCGAGGCCAGGGACATAACTGAATGGGCTCCTAGAGGGCTCAGTGAGGAGACAGTGGAACCTGGCCTGTCATCTACTAGGTATGTGTTGGAGCCCATTTAAGCTTTCCTAGTGGCTTTATCCAGCAGGTCTGTATAAGGAGGATGATTGGACCACGGGCCTGAGTACAAAGGTGTTTGGAAGGGTCTACATTTGTTTGTATCTAGCAGGGGGAGGTCTTTTTTGCCTCGCCCCTTAACATTGTTACAAAAAGCACTTTTGAATAAAGTTCTGGGCTGGTGGGTGTGGAGCCAGGCCCTCCCGAGACTATCCTGTGTTTCTGTCTTTCCTCTCGTGGTCTAGGTATCTCTTTCTATCTGTATTTTTCACTTCTCAAAAGTACCCTGGGTCATAAAAGGGGTGGCTGGTCTGCCACAGACATGAGCTACCCAATCCAGCCCTCCCCTCCTGTTTTGTAAATAAAGTTTTATTAGACCACAGCCATACTCATTCACTTACATACTGCCCCTTCCTGCTTCCACCATACAATTGTGGAGCTCAGCCATTGCAGCTGAGATTCTGACTTCCGACACTGAAAATGCCCCCTGGCCCTTACAGAAGTCTGCTAACCCTTCGGCAAAACTACATTTTCCTGTAGAAACACTGTGTAGTTGAAAGAATAATATTATACGAGTTGGGAGTAGTGGGCTGTGCCTATAATCCCAGCAATGAGCAAAAGCTGAGGCAGGAGGATCAAGAATTCATGGTCATCCTCGGCCACACCAAAAGTTGGAGTCCAGCCTGGCCTATAGAAGATCTTGTCTCAAGAAAAACAAAAACAAGGACTTCCTGCTTCCTGTGAGCGTTTGCCTGAGGTTTGCAGCCACGTGAAGATCCCTGGTGTGTTTAGGGACTTTTTTTTTTTTTAATGTCATTTCAATGTCTTGCTGATGTCTTTATAACCTGTTTTGAAGCCTGGCTCTGGGTCACAGTGAAATTAGTACCCACAGTGACTAACCTACAGCCTCAGCCAGTGAATTCTTCTAGGATATGCCTGCCCTGGCCCCTTCATGGGCCAGGACTTGAAATCCTCTCTACTCTAACTCACTGTGGTCAGGGTTCATGAACCCCTGTTAACTATGCGCATTGAAAATCCAATCGTATATGACCTGGTGCAGTTAGATTTTACTGGCAAGTCTCAGTATGGTGCTACTTCAAAGAAATTTTCTAATCAATTTGGTCATGAAAGAGTTAAAAAGAGAGAGAAAGAGGGCAGTGGTGGCGCACGCCTGTAATCTCAGCACTCGGGAGGCAGAGCCAGGCGGATCTCTGTGAGTTCGAGGCCAGCCTGGGCTACCAATCGAGTTCCAGGAAAGGCACAAAGCTACACAGAGAAACCTTGTCTTGAAAAAACAAAAAAGAAAGAAAGAAAGAAGAGAGAGAGAGATAGGCATGAATCTAAAAGGCCAGTGGGACAGAAGTATTCAATGTCATTGAACTTGAGTGTGTGGGACACCCCCCCCCCACAGGAGTGTTATCTAGGAATAGTCTTATTCTTCTGGTTCAATGTAAGAGGTAAGTTTTAAATTCTAAGAGGTGCA